CTGCTCATGCCCCTTGATTGTTTGCGTTGGGGAAATTTCGCCTAAAATGCCCGGTTCTCCCACATCCGTAACAGGTATGGCTGGCCCCAGCATTGGTGTTGTTGTTATTGTTGTTGTGGTTGTTATTGTTGTTGCTGTTGTTGTTGTTGTTTGGCATCTGGTTTTGTTGAAGCTAAGCCCTACAATACTTTGATGTATGGCCGTTCCGGTTGCACCTTGTGCAAATCATCTCTCTGCATTCCCCTTGATGGTGGAAATTGCATTTGTTACATTTGGGGAGATTTCCTAAGTACTGCTTTGGGGCATTAGACGTGGATGAGGCTGGAGCATGTGGTGTGGTGGTAGCTTGAGTTGCATCATGAACAATCACCGTTTGTTGTTTCTTAGATGATTCGGAGTTTTGTTTCCCCTTTCGCTTGTTGTTTTTCCCTTTCTTGTTCTCACATTCCTTCTTAACCTCCGCTTCTACTGTTTTGGCACCCTTTTTGTTGCCATGATCATACAATTTCTTAGCCAACCTCTTGGCGCTGTCGAACGTCTCAGGGTTTGCCGCAATGACATTTCCTTGGATAGGTGCAGTCAATCCCCAGATAAATCTCTCAATCTTTTTCCCTTCTGAGGTGATCATTCCGGGACACAAGAGAGATAGCTCACTAAACCTGGATATATATGCGTCGATATCGGAGTTTTGAACCGTGAGGTTCCACAGTTCTTGTTCCATCTTCTGGATTTCACCTCTTGGACAATATTCAGCCAACATCATTTCTTTGAGCTCTTCCCATGGCAACGCGTTCGCCACCAGGAGTGTCATGGCCTCTATGTGGCCATTCCACCAGGAGAGAGCTTGATCAGTGAATGTGCAGGCCGCAAACTTGACCTTGCATCCATCTGGACACCCGCAGATTTCAAAAGCGGATTCCACTTTCTCAATCCATCGCTTCAGGGCTATTACGCCTCCTGTTCCATTAAAGGTTCGAGGTTTGGCGTTGGTGAAATCCTTGTAGGTGCAAGTTCGCGTGGTTCCGTGGTTTGTTCCTTGATTCGTGCTCCCGGCTCCCTGCCCGTTGCCTTCTCCGTTGTTTGCATTGCGAATCTGCGCAAGTGCCACAGTGACCGCAGCGGACACTGCTGCTTGGAATACAACCGAGTCTAACTGATTTGCCTGTCTTGGCATTTTTCCAAAACTGGATTTTCGATCAAGGTTTTTCTCACCCTAGACTGGCCTAGTCTAACTGTAGCGAACAGCTCAGGTGTGGGAGAGTCACCCCCGTATAGATCTATACACAAACTCTCGCTCTCCCCCAGGAGACTCTGATTATAACTACAAGCTACGACCATACACTCAGTGGTGTCAGCCGACACGTCTCACTAGATTCCATTTGTCTCCACATGAATTTGTATAATGTTATATGTATTTAGAAGTTCGAACACTAGATAATGTATAAAATGACAAGATAAGGCCTAACAAACATGAAGAAAAGGCAACTATGGCCCATTAGACGTGTAAGTTATTTCCAGGCTAAATTAGCATGTAAATGGGCCACTAAGGCCCAATAACATGTAAATGCTAAATTAGGCCCATTTAGCATGTAATTGGGTCACTGAGGCCCAACAGACATGTGATGAATACATTGGGCCCAATAAGCATGTAATTGGATCACGAATGCCCAATAAACACGTATAGCAAAATACTAGGCCCAAGAATCGCACCATTGTTGTATTTCGTTTAATCGAATTATTTATCCGTAGCGTTATAAAAAGTCCAATGTTTTGTTATAATGATATTTTTAGTTTGATACATCAAAATTCTATAACTTGAACCCGTACTTATTAAAAATTACACTTTAGGTCCCTTGAGAACTAATTTGAACATTTAAGGGCTTATTTTACATAAAATGTCATTTTGGTCTATTTTAAATTAAAAATAACATTTTAGTCCATAAATTTATAAAAATCTATATTTTTGCCCCAAATGTTTAGTGATTGACGGGTTTGGCCCAAAAATACATATAATGACATTTTTAGTCCATTTTTGCAGAAAATTACAATTTCAGCCCTTATTTGCATAGAATAGCATTTTCGGCCCAATTTTTATAAAATTAACATTTTTGGTCCGAATCTTGAGATAGTGTCATTTTCAGCCCCTAATCTCGTTTATTATCATTTTTGGCTCGAGTTTTGATTAAATAACATTTTAATCCCTAAAAATTGATATTTTTGCAATTTGGGCCCAATAGGTCGTGAAGCCCACATTAAGGCCCAAAATACCAAATTTTACACTTTTGACCCTTACAAAAATACGGTTGTTATAAAAACTCATTTTTAAGCTAATAATACCCTTTTAGCCCCTATAAAACCGTAGGTGTCACTCTTGACCCCAAACTTTTGTTTATTTGCCAAAAATGATCCTTATACAAGATTTTGTTTGGTTTTTCACAACTTAGTCATTTATAACACTTTTAAATTTGTAGTATAGTATCTAGAGTGTTTTTGTTTGTGATTCTCACTTATTTTTGTTAGAGTTTTATAGATCCATCGAGTTTATCACACAAACACAACAAAAGCCAAGAAAATCACACATAACATGCATAAATACATAGATCTACACATAAATACTTGTATTCTCCACCAAAAACAAGTGAAAACCGAAAACAAGGGGGTATGAACTCACCTTGCTTTGTTTGATCTCGATTTGAATAAGAAATGGAAGAGGTTTCGGCTCTAGCATGCCTTCCTTGGATATATCTCGAGCTTATGGGGTTTTCTAAGAGTGTGATCACCAAAAATGTTTAGGAGAAGTGTTCTTAACATAAGAATGAAGTTATATAACTTGGATATGTAGGGACTTACCAAAGAAAGATGATTTTTGGTGGAAATCTCCTTGAACAACCCTAGATCTTCGAAAATATGGAGAAGATAGGAGGTTTTCTTGAGAGAGTGTTCTTGGAAGATTTTTGAAAGAAAATGAGGTGGTGAGTGTGAGGTTCGTCCGAGAAGCAGAAGAGAGAGGAGAGAGGGAGTGAGGTGATGTGCATGGAGATCCACCATGCAATAAAGAGGTGGCTAACTCTCATTAATCCTCTAATTTCCTTTTATTTTTCTTTTCTTTTACTCATTAGGCCGAGAATGGGCTAAAGAGAAAGGAGGTGGATTATCTTGGCCCATTTCTAGCCTTGGTTCGAAATTATGAGGCCCAATAATTAATTTTCGGCCCATTGGGCTCATTAGATGGTCCACGACCCATTTGAAAGAAGAAAGGAAGTTTATGGCCCGTTAGGGCAAATTAATTCATTTATGGCCTAATAAGGCCCATTAGGGTTAGAATGAATCATTCTAGGCCCAAATGGTCCAAAATGTTATAGATTTATGAATTGGGTCCATTTAGAATCCAAATAGGGTTTCTAAGCCCAATGTAGTTGAATTGAATGTTTATTGGTCCATTAGGCCCAATAAGGAAATCCTAGTCCATAATAAACTTGAACCAGGGTCTCTAGGGTTTTCAACTCCCCAATTGACTATTTGGATACTTTGTGTAGAGTTTTGAACTTCACTTGTGAATCTTGATTAAGTTTGTGGTCATAGAATGAACATAATGTATGATATCAAGTTAATGTTATAAGTATTATCATAGATGACGTTTACATGATCACAGAATTTCCTGGCAAAAATGCCAGTTGTGACAAATATGGTCATGGATGTTTTGTTTGACATATTTAAATGTGTCGAGGTATCCGCCAAGAAAAAGACACCTGTGAATTTCTTGACCGACCCGACAGAAGGAAAGTCAACCCTTAGATCGTCTGACTTTTTTATGGATGGGTTGGAGAGAAACACGTCTGTGTGGACCTTACAGGGGTATCCCCTATCGTGAGCTTGAGGGTTGGGAGGTTATAAGGCGGGACATGCCGCTTTAAAAGCTGCTACATGCAATGTCACAAAACATGAGAAATCGTGCATGGAAAATTAACACATGTTCATACCATTTGCGTTTGATACGTTTGGTTTCCTCGCGCCGGATGCGGTGAAGCTTCTTAATAGAGTACAACGGATCATGCATAATAATGTTATATCCCTTAGATCTATGGATGTAGTCCTCAAAAGAATTGACTTTGTCATACAAAAAAGCTTAGCGGCGCAACTTGTTGTCTGTTTGCCTCCTCAGTCGTTGTACTGTGATAACTAAGTTATAATCATGAAGTTGATGAAAAAAAATTGTTTTTCCCAAAAACAAAATGCATACCATCTTCAACCCTAACACTATTTATTACGCTAAACAACTAAAAATAACATCTTTTTTATATTAAAAACAATATTTTGACTATATTTTTTTATAGTTTAATCGTGAATCCATAACCACTATTTACCCTTAATTGCACAGAATCCTTCATAATAACAAACAATGCACCAATAATCCAATTATACATAATCCTCACATTATTGGTCCAACCCAATAACGCTATCAGGTATTGTGACTGCATATTCACTAGTAAAGTGCATGACACATCATCCAAGTATCCACTCCACGACATGTCTACTAGCTCTGGGGGAGGTTTCCATTGGTGAACATCTAGTGAACAAGAGAGGGAAAGATACAGAGAGATAGAGAGAAGCCAATGAGAGACTCCAGCTTTTGTTCAGCCAGTTACAGTCTCTTTGATCCTCCGTTATGCATACCAATCCACATCACAACTACTAGCTCCTGGGACAGTGTTCACTAGTGAAGATGTATGCATCATCAACATTTCACACGTGAGATCCTACCATACCCCAAGGCCTAATTAAATAGCAACAAAATTATAAATGCACATTTCTAATTCACAAGTACAACTTTGACCTTCATGCTAATTCCAATATCCTACAGACTCAATTAGACCCAACATACGAGTGTTACCTATAAATAAACACAAACCCGTGTAACATAATATACCATCCACCAAAATCAAATATAACTTAAATTTAAAACCACTAGATTTATTGATGTTATGTAAAATGAAACGTAGTCTTAGAATTATTTATTCATATTACGTAAGACGAAACACAAGCTTCGAATTATTTATTGATGTTATGTAAAACAAAACAAAGTCTTAGCATTCTAGATTCATGGTATCGGATAAATAACTATCTTTCCTGTGGCCCTATGACTCTCAAGGTAAGTGAAAGCCTCCTTAACCTTTTCAAAAGGGAAAGGAGTTCTTGGGTCTAGCAATGGCTTCACCTTTCCACTTTCTAGGTAAGGGTTTAGTTTTGTTAACATGGATCCACTAGATGTGAGCACGAAGCCGAACCCGGGTGGTGGAATAGGCTTTTCGAAATCGGTAATGGATACCGCACAACCACCTTCCTTAACTGCTTTCACAGCTTCCTCCGGTTGCCCTACAACATTTATATCATCCTTGGATGTCAGATAAAAATATACACACACAACTTTTAGCTGTAAAAACGTTATTCTTCGAGAAACCTAAGATGGCCTATAACCCCATAGTAGTGTTTTGCTAAAAAAAAACATTATGTGAGATGTAAATAAGTCTACGCGGTTATTGGAGTCCTATCCACAATGGATATAAAACTTTTAGGAGTCGTTTTCCTAAGAGAAAATTGCATTTTTGGTCTCTGAGTATAGCGGAGTTTTGCAATTTTGGTCTCAAATAGTTTTTTTCTTAAAATTTTGGTCATTATCAGAGGTTCTTGACTTCTTGTATCGTTTATGGTCCATGTTCTAAAAAAAATGACTATTTTTTGTCATTATTATAAATAAAATGACTATTTTTGGTAATTGTCCTATAATTGATTTTTGCAATTTTTGTCACAAATATATAGGGCGTGTTCGGCATGCAGCGTTTGAGAGTTTCTGGCAGTTAACCGCTAGTTTTGCCGAACACGCCCATAGTCATTTAAATCGGAACAACCAACAAAAACATTAAAAGAATAAAAATAAATAAAAAGCACAAAAGTTAAAGATAAAACCTTTTGGGATACAAATTGAAAAAGTTATCGGATCAAAATGTAAATTCTATGTATATAATTCTTACCTATTGCATCGTAGACAACATCGTATTTATCTGGGAGTTCTTCGAATTTCTCTTTGGTGTAATCGATGGCAATATCAGCGCCAAGACTCTTAAGTAACTCCAGTTTTTTAGTACTAGATGTGGCCGCTATTTTCGAAGCCCCAAACACATGTTTTGCAAGCTGTAACAAAGAAGATTGGCATCATATATATACAGGGTATGGTAAAAGAATGTGCAATTTTATGAAGAACAGGTTACATACCTGAATTATGAAGGATCCAACACCACCAGCACCATTAAGAACAAGGATTGATTGACCTTCTTTGAAATTGGCCCTTTCTAGACCTTCATATGCAGTTTCAATTGCAAGAGGAAGAGCAGCAGCTTCTACAAAATCCATGTTTTTAGGTTTCAAAGCCAGCAATTTCTCGTCAACAGCAACGTATTCTGCTAAAGTTCCTAACTTTGTAGGTTTATCCAGAGCTTTTTCGTTTACATCTCCATATACTTCGTCTCCTTCTTTCAGTCCTTTTACCTCGCTTCCAACTTTCACAACTACCCCTGCGACATCTAATCCTGGAATAACCTGTTATTAAAAGTAAATTTCATTAGCGAAAATTGATCTGAAACTCTCGCGTAAAAAACTAAAAATGATCGATTCAAATAAAATGATTCGAAATTAGCTGATTTAAGTGGAAATGAGAAGCTTGTTTTTGAAGTGGAGAAAACAGGATTAACAAACACCTTCAATTGTTACACAACAAACAAACCTAAATCCCAAAATTACTTGACCTAAAACACGTATAACTGATTAAAGCAAAACGAACTTCAATCCCAAAATTTAATCACGAGACTGAAAACTCACAGACAATTCAAACTAGAAATTATCACCGGAAAACTTACCGGAAGAGGCGGATCGGCGGCCTTCATCTGTCCAAGCCTCCTTCTGTAATCGACTGGGTTAAGAGCAGCAGCAACAACCTTAACCAACACCTGATCATTATTGATTTCAGGAATCGCCACATCAGTAGCCAGTTTCAAGACTTCAACGCTGCCATATTCCTGATACTGCCATGCCTTCATCGTGGTGGTGCTTTAGAGGGCTAATCTAATGTCGGTTTGTGAAGAACAAGCAGAGATTATCGAGAGAGTTGTGATCTTTATTTCATTTTGGTTTCTCGTTACTGGTTAGAATTTAAAAAGAACAAACTTCTGCGGCAAAAGTTTGAGTTATATGCATAAATGGTCCTTTTACTATTTTTGTGTTCACATTTGGGTTCTATTTTTTTAATTTTTTTTTTCCTTCAACAAAATCTGAAACCATTTGTGATAGATTGGTAGATATAATTTATGAGCTATCTAAAAGTAGAAAGAGTAATTAAGTTTTTAAACCAAATTACAATACAGCTATTTTAGTTTTTGTTATCATTTTATTCTTTTTTGGCATAGCTTTTTACTTATTTTACTTTTTTCGGTACGATGAAGATTTTATATTAACTAACAATGTACTATATGATTAAGAATTTACAATATCACTAATAGGATTTTGTAACCAACCAATTCAGTTTAATTTTACTTTAATGTTTATGTTAAAAACAAAATAAAGACTTTGAAACATTTTATAAATATATAATTTTCTTGGGTTTGACCGTTCCAAGATTCATTATGTTTCGAAAATTACAAATAGTTCACAAAAGCGTGACACAAACTGTATCAAAATACTTCTTTTGATTCATATTAACATTCAATTGATTGATCCGTATAATCCAAGTCAATTTTTTTAAGGAAAAAAGTCAATATCCAAACAACGAGCAATTTGTGTCCAATTGGAATAAGTGATGGGGCAAGAGAATAAAACATGGTCAATTGTCTTGTTTTAGATATCGCAAATAGGACATAACAAGCGTCAACCTCAATCCTCTTGGATCCTCTTTTGATCCAGGGTAACTTTAGTAGACACTTTATTTGAACGCACTCTCCTACGCCAATATATTCAATTTTCCTAGAGCAAAAGTATTGCATCTAATAGCATTAATTAATGCATTAGCCATTAGGATTTGAAATTATCTTTAGTGTTTTCTATTCTTCACCCCGTGGTTTCCACGGGTATTAACCTAGTTACTTATAACTCATCCCATCATTCAACATTTCAACCCTCCCCCCTTCCCCTTGAATTTATATGCAAACAATCGACCTACACATGAATTGGAGCCCTCCCCCTTCCTCTTGAATTTATATGGGGATAATATCACTATAGCACAATAAATTTTTGTCATTTTCCCGATTTGGTCACTAAATTTTTTTTTGCGCAATAGATCCTAAAGTGTCATTTTACTTGTTAAATAGGGAAATTTTGTAAATTACTTTCGATTTCACCGGTTACCTTTGGCCCATGTGGCGTTTTTTAATTTTTCAAAATTAAAAAATCAAGTCTTTATAGGACATGATTTTTCTTTTTCCCGTAAATCTAAACAAGAATACGTCTTCTTCCCAATTCCCACCACCACAAAAATCAACCAGCGATTTTGCAGAGATTGTGCTTGCTTCTGCGTTCGTATCCTTTACCCCAAGCAAAATAGAGATCGATCCTACTCTTTCATCTCCTTCTATCGATTGCAGCTTTTGGTAGTGGCGAGTATAGAAGAGAAAACCACGTGGTTCCCTATTTAAATGAAACCAAGAAAAATGGAATAGTTAAAATTACTAGTTATGGGCCGGTTGGATACAGTGTTGTAAAACTCTCTTAACTTGGTCGAGTACTTCACAAATCACTCGGACTTAGCCTTCTATTGAGGTGAGTTTTGCCTACTTGGCAAGAAAATCAGAAATCTTTCAAACTCGATCCAACCCACACCGATTCAACCTAAAAAATGCTCATCTTTTAGACTAGAGCAAGGTTAAACTAATAAAAATCGGCTCAACATGCAAAAATAATGTTAAATGACAAAAACAAGTTTAAACTTGCAATAAACCAAGTTTGGGGTTTTTATCGTTAACTTTTTTCCTCAAGTACTCCATCAACAATGTTGAAGTTGGAGGTAGAAAGTTTTATTCCTTAAACAATCCATAATAAACTTTTCCATCACCCTTCCTTTTTATAAGTAACAACTTATAAATCAACTTCCTAAGGTCATTAAAATTGATCATCCATTTTGATCCAACATTCTAAGGTAGGTCCTAAATTTTTTTCAAGGTGGTTACTAATTTTTTTCAATATAACTTATTTTAAGATTTGAAAATTAAGGTGGGTCATGGGAACCACCTACCATGCATGTAAACTCGCCACTGGCTTCTGGTATTGATTTTAGGTATCAATCAAAGAACGAAACCTCCTACTATTGCTTCCCAATCGATCACAGACACCCTCCTTCATTATGTATTCTTCACAAATCATATGTATATGTGCATGAATCCTCAGCACCAAGGAATCAAATCCCCCTTTCATCTTCTCGGTATCAAAATTTAAGTGGTTGATAATGGCGACGGTGACTCGTGTATTTCATCGATTCCAGAAATCAGACATCATGTATTGACCCAGGAGGTTACACCGGATAAAGAAGTTGGACATACCAGATAAAGGAGCAGTAGTTGGCGTCAGCAATAGGAAATATGGAGCAGAGATCAGAGAAGGGTCACAACTCTTCTCTCTGATGAACGTTGTGAAGGAGTGTGTCTGGGAAACGAGCCTAACGATGTAAACGAGGGTATTCCTATTATGGATTTTCCTAATCCATCGCATAAATAATTAATTGGGGATGAAATTCATTTTGGGATTTCTTAGTTAACATTGAGCGGTGATATAGATCATTTGAGAGTGTGATGGTTACGTGTAATAGAATCTCAACATGAGTCTTTCTCATGCCTACATCCGTCCGACCGGTCCGTTCATAATGCTCATGTTGGGAGGTGAAAGACACATCGGAAGATAAAGAACTCGAATAGGCAAAGTATTTAAGTAGTTTCATCAGTGAAAGATGCAGAGGAAGATGAAGAGCTCGAATAATGTTTTTTAGATTCGTTTTAGATTAGGTGCTTTTTGTGGAATTCTTTTGAAGCTTTGAACTTTGTATGGTTTGGTGTTTATTTTGGTCTATTCAAGTGATCATGTTGGGAGGTGGACAATGGATGGGTGGAAGAAGGTGGTGGGAGGCGGGCGATGGTGGTGGTGGTGGTGGTGGGAGTTGGATTTGTTACTGTTTCTTCATTTCCAAGATCTACAAACAAAGCAAAATCCATTGTTGAGGTTTTCATCTACAGGTTCATGATTATAAGGAGAGGTTGCAATGGGTTTGGGCATGGTAAAGGAGATAGTGGTGGGCTGGTGGTTGACTGCAAAGTTCGAATGGGGGGTTGGATATTAAAAAGTAAGATGTTATCTATGTAGAATATATGATGTGGCTACATAAAATACTTATTAATGTCACATAAGCATTTTTACCGGGTTACCTGCTAAATTCTAGTAAAATGGTTTATTTAACAGATAAAATGATACTTTAGGGATCTATTGTGCAAAAAAAAAAGTTTAGTGACCAAATCGGGAAAATGACAAAAATTTATTGTGCTACAGTGACATTTTCCCAATTTATATGCAAACAATCGAAAAAGTCAAAGTGAGGAATCCTAAAGTCAATCATCTTTCTCTTATTGATTTTACATCAAACTCTTGTTTTTGTTAAAATTGTCTATTTAAATCTTAGTTTAATTATAGTTTGTTTCAAGTATTTCAAAACACTAACCCCCCCCCCCCCCCCCCCTTGTCTTTTATGATTATGTAAAGTATCGATAAGTGTGTAGCATTATTATAATGTGATATAAAGTCCTATGTAAAGTAGTTTGTCTTCTTGCAATCATACGATTGCAATAATGTAAAGATACCGTGTGTAAACGGCTCTTTGGAGCCTATATAAAGGGCTTTGCCCTTAGTGAATAAAGCAGAGTGATTTGTGATTATAAGATTTGAGTTGATCTCAATCTTCTTCTGTTGAAATAGATTTTCTATTTCTGAATAGCAGAACCCTATCCAAACATATCCATATATTCATATAAACATATCAAACCCAGACAATCAATCCATCGTCAATCCATTCCGACGCATCAAATTGAAAAACATGGCGGAATTAATAAAATTAAGACAGAATATACCTGAATGATGCGTCGGAATGGATTGACGATGGATTGATTGTCTGGGTTTGATATGTTTATATGAATATATGGATATGTTTGGATAGGGTTCTGCTATTCAGAAATAGATTCCCCCCTCCATTTTTAATTTATTGTCATTTTACAATTATTTTTACAAAGAGATTTTTCATAGAGTTATTAAATTGAGCCAATATCCGTGGATTCGATCAATTTACCACTATACACTATTTTAGTGTAAAAGATATAGGGTTATTAATGAAACGTGAACTTTTTCTTGGTCTCTAGCAAAAAAAAAAAAAAAAAAAAAAAACTTCGAAAATGCAATATCCAATATATCCTCCAAAAAAACCTAGTAAATCGATCATCACTCATCTCTTTCGAGCAAAAAATGAATAACGATACTTTTATATTGAAATTGCAAAGTCGAGCGAAAAATATTTCTCGAAGGCACATTGAAGTGGCTTCATTGCATAAAAATACTAACTTGACCATTTCCAAATATCACATTTATAACTCATTAACTCTTAACGCATAAAGCATTAGAGTCTTTGAAACTATAACCTCTATTTAGAAAGTATGGGCCTATTAAAGGCGAAAGGGTTCCAACTGCGTCACCATCTTCCTCTTGTTAGTCATATCTTTTTTTCGATTTTACTTGCTAGACTAAAAAAACTTAAGAATGTTATAGTGGTTATTTTACTAATCATACTTGTAGTTTAATTACGAATTGAAAACAAGAAAGTTATGTATACTTGATTTTTGTTGTTGTACTTTATACATTTAAATGATTTAAATTATTAGTTCCTGACAAATTTACATGTATAATGTATAATGATAAAAAGCAAATCAAACACACTAACGGGAAGAATCCAAAATAAAAATAAAATAGAGCCGCCATGAACAAATGACCAAAAACTACATAAAACATAGATATAAGTACATGTAAATACAAAAAAAGAAAATTCAAGTTATCTTTATATCTTTTATATATCTGAATAGCATATTCATTAATTAACTTTGGTTATGTTTTTA